AAAGCTTGTTTCATGATGATTCGTTTTTGAAAAAAACACCTGCTCACCATGAATTTGGGGGGCACAAAAAGACTGGCTAGTGAGTCGTCTCGGAAGTATTCTGTGTTATGGAACCAGAAAGAATGATTTGAGATAGTTTGGTAATTTGGGGAGAAAGTAGATAGTAATTACATTGAAATGGGACTAAGATTTATAATGGAAGGGTTGACGTTGAGTGTAAGATGAATGGGAACTTTATTAAAAACATCGGTGGTTTTTGAGAGCCTCCTATGTTTCGCAGTCTTAAATACTTCTATCTATATTCTCCAACAGATTTTAGTGCCAGAAAGTCAAATCTCACCAGTTGAAGAACGCCTTAGTGTGAAAGAAAAGCCTGACTCCCAAAAGGAAATAGCTAACCCCCAGATGCACAGCAAAAGGAATAATCCAGAGGACAGAAAAAATAATCCATTCGAGGTAACTATGGTGCCAAAAGCAGTTTGTGAAGTCTGGCGTAAGTGGTTGGTGGCTGTAGTTACAGAAAAAAGCATCTGGAATGTGCAGGTCACTAACGTCCAGTGACATTTCCGGTCCTTTGCTGGCCGCCTCCACACACAGAAAGTAGGGCTCTACATTCCAAATGAGAGCTACAGGCAAAGTGACCACCACTTTTCACACTTGGCTTTTCGACCTTTGTATTTGCCTGTGATGTAGAATACAGACGTATAATGTTCTGTTTGCTTGCATGAAGAAGGAAGCGCTAGCTTCCTGCCCTCGTCCTGGCCCACTGGGGGCTCCAGCAGGAACACGTCCCAGCCCTGTGTGTGCTGGCGGGATCCGGGGCAGATGGTGTCCCTATCGCCCTTACTGTCTGGGTGTCCCCTCCTCCTCTGAGCTCTGCGTGCGCACCTCAGTTCTCTTTCTGCTTCTGTTTCACCTCAGGTAACTTCCTGTCCCCACCCCTACACATCCGTGGGTATTTGCTCTGAAGCTTTGACACGCGGCCGCTACCTCCCTCTAGGCCTTCTCCCTTGGGGCGAGTCCTTCAGGTGCATGTAAGCGCTGCAGATGGCCGGTCTTCCCAGTGCTAAGGCAGGTGTCCACTCGGCGTCTGCCCCGGCCTTTTGCCTCGAACTCACATCTGCAGCTCCGCTTCCGTAGCGCCACCCCTAGTTTCCCGATGGCAGCCTGCTCGTGGCCGCCTCCGGTGCCCGAGCCGTGTGCCCGGGAGCACGTGCTGCAGCCGAGCTGTGCCTTTCCTCGGAGCCCCGCGCGGGCTCGCTGCGCACTGGAGCGCGCAGCGGCCTCTGGCTGCCCGGGCCGCCCTGTGCGAGACACCAGTGGTTTCCTGAGCAGCGTCAGCGCACAGCCTCCTTCAGCCCGCAGAGCTCTGTGGACTCAGGCTTAGTCCCCTGAATCTAGTGTTACTCTGTTCCGAGACCCTGTGTGTCCTAATTTCACTCTCTCCATTACTTCCACTTCAGTCAGGTTGGCTGAGCACCCCTTTAGTCAGGGAGCGTTCATTCGCGTTGCCCTCGAGTCTTCCACGGGGGGCGCCTGCTGCTTCCGGGGTGCTTTCCCGACCGAGCACTGTAGCCAGCGTCTCATGCGTTTGGCAAGTCGCCTTCCTACTGTTGCACCCTGAGACTTGTGTCAGTGTCCTGCTTCTCTCAAGCGAGTAAACTCGGTCCTTATCCACAACACCTTATTTTAGACCTACTGAACCTAAAGCTTGGGGAAGGATCTCAAGCACACCGAAGTTTGGGGAAAGTTGTATTATTGTTAAATGCACAGTGTGTTTTCTGTACGAAGGAACTGTTTGAAGCATTTCTCAGAATAGGTAACTTTTTAGCGTTCATCCACTATATCTCGGCCCAGCGTTAAGGATGCCTGCCAGTGTCTGTCTCCTCGTTAATATTAACGCCCCGCCCCCGCCACCCCCCGCGCCCCGAGTGTGCCTGCTTACAACTGCACCCGTGCTGCTCCTGTTCTTAAAAACAGCTCTTGAACGCCTCTCTCTAGTCCGTTGGCATCGCTCATGTAGACGGTGCCCCTGAAACGCTGCTCCCTGGGCTCCCTGCCGCCGGGTGTCTGTCACCGTTGTGCTTTCAGTCAGCCTAGGTGGGCTTCACCTTCCTGACGTGGACTTCTGAAACGGGAACCTCTCTGTGCCACTGTCTCTGAATCCCCGTAGCGCTAATTACTCTGAAGGCAGCTCAGTCCGCAACGGCGTCTTCATACACATTTTGAAGGGGCGGAAGTGCTGGAGAGGGCCTCCCCTATGCGAGCATTCGGAATGAAGCTACCTAAGTATGTCCAGAATCACCCACATGAAAGAGATAGGAGGTGGTTAGCTGCCGGCCACCGGCCATCAGCCAGCTCAGTATCCGTGAACCCCACCGGGCCATGGGAAAGGTGCCGACATCAGAAGTCTGGCGTGTCTGGAGTCTTCTGGCCCACAGCTCTTGCTTGGCCGCCAGTCAGAATCCGACAGCAGGCGAAAACACGCATTTCTGAGTATCACGGGTTTTATAAAGTGACCTATCTTTGTGGATAGTCAAGTAGAAT